AAGGAAAACCCAGCCAGTCCAAGGCTCGGAGGCCCCCATGGAGGAAAGAGGTGGAGCCGAAGGTTCTGGCATGGCTCTATCAAGGATGGAAGTGGGGAGTATGAGAAGAAGCCACAGAGAAGGGAGGGGCTAAATCACAAAGGCTTTGCATGCCAAGCTAACAAAATTGAATTTGGGCTGGGGTTATCAAGGAGGACTTCTTGGAGGAGGTCAGACTTGAGCCAGGGGAGGGGTAGGACTTGGAAAGCTGACAGGGAGGGGGAGGTGTGGCTATTGTGATTAGCTGCTGAAGTTAAAACTCTCAAAAACCCTTCCCTCCCCCATATCCTTAGAAACGGTTGAATCACAAACTGCCCGGTTGAAGATGTGTTTGTCTGTTATTTGAAAGCTGCGGTTTCTCTTTAACAGATTCTGGGCCCCATCCTTTGACTAGGAACCAGGAAGGAAGGAAAAACGCATTCTCTTGCCCAGAGAGCTAATTATTGAAGTGCTGTGGGCCTCACCAGGGTGTATGGCGTCACCCGCTCTGTCCTCCAACAGCTCTGAACTTCTAAGTGGTCGAAGTTTTCAGTACATTTTTATAGGCTGCCCCAAAGCCAACTGGAAGCTTTCTTTCCATAAACGCTCCCTGAGACAAGTAGCCAGGTTTCACATATTAAAATGTAAACGTCAAAAGGGTTGTTTAAAAAAAAAAAAAAAAAGATGCAGGCTCATTTATGAGGTCTCAGCTCACAAAACCCACATCAGAGTTCAACAGCATTTGTCTTTTTTTTTTCTGCAAAGCTGATGGTCAAATTATAAGGCTAAAGATCATCACTGATCACTTATTTATCCATTCACCCAACAAGCACTTACTGGGCATTTCCTGGGGACCAGGCCTTAAGCTGACTGCTCCGTCCCTACTGCATCTAAGCTCAAAATACTTCACAGTTTACAAAGCTGTCATTGCAATTTTGTGAGCTATATGTAGTTTTATCCCCATTTTTCAGAGTAGGAAGTCAAGGCTCTTGCCCCAGAGTCACGATGCTAATTAGAGGTAGACCTTGACCTTGGGTCACCCCTGTTCGAACCCTTCAGTTCTATCCACTCTACCTTGCTCCTTTGTAAGCAATACCATCTAACTGTTATTGGCTTAGGTCAACAGCTCCAAGGATTCAGGTTTAGCTGTAATCAGTTACTTGCAATTAATTACTTGTAATCAATCTGTTTAGTATTTACCCCCACCTTTGAACCCTGGTGTCCCTCTTGGGGGAAATTCCCCCTTGTGAGGGAGGGAAACACTAGCATCCACTTCCCATGGCCACCATCACTACAAAAACCTAGTGAAGCAAAATTCTTTCCCAGCATCTCCTCCTGCCTAGACAGTGGACAGGCACATATGAAATATAATGTCGTCCGATCAGCTACTCATTCCCAGAGCTGCCACTTGAGTGAGTGGTGAGGGGACCCTGGCAGGTCAAAGTCAGGCTCAGTAGAGGGTCCTGGATCGAACTGTACCTGCAGCATGCCCTCGGCTGGGGTTCCTGCACTCTCTTGGCTGTCCTTTGTTCAACCCTGTTCTCCAGCCCCGTGTCAGTTCTGTGAGCCCTCACTACCTTCCAGTAAGTCCCTTCTTGCT